ATCTGGAACCTTCAATGAATCTCTCTATGTTTATTTTTAACAGAGTATCTGCATTCTTACTCCTTTAAAGAACCCACCAGCTGCTCCACAGGAGAAAGATGTGACAGTTGACTTCTGCAGAGATTTACAGCCTTAGAAACCCTACGGGACAGTTCTACTCTGTTCTATAAGGTCACTGTGAGTTGGAATCGACTCGATGGCCATGAGTTTTGGGTTTGGGTGAACTTTCAGAAGCAGATAGCCAGGTCTTTCTTCTGAAGCACCTCTTGGGTGGATTCAAATTGCCAACCTTTCAGTTAGTAGTTGAGCACAAACCGTTTGCGCCGCCAGGGCTGCCTGCAGCTCCTGTAACCAACACAACCCAGCTGCTGCAGAGTCCATTCCGACTCACGGCAACCCCATGTGTGTCAGAGTAGAACTATGCTCCACAGCATTTTCGTTGGCTGTGACCTTTCAGAAATAAATTGCCAGGGCTTTTTTCTGAGGAGCCTCTGGGTGGATTCAAACCACCAACCTTATTCAGCACCTACTATGTGCCACACACTGTATTAGACACCAGTGAATAAGACAGATCTGGTTCAGTTGGGGAGTTAGGTAACAGGCTATATTACACCCACTCCTCTCTTAATGACATGGTTAGGTTCCAAAAACTAGGTTGTTATGTGAAAATCGGCATTATGCAAAAATGGAGGATGACCATATCAGACCACGAAATGGAGGATGACTACATCATTGCATGACTGCTAAATTATATCATTATAGAAGTGCCAGATGATATCAGTACATAACTGCCAAACCACATCATTATATAATGGCCAAATTACATTATTACATAACTGCCAAACGACTGAGAATCATGGCCCTGCCAAGTTGACACATTACCTTACCCATCACAGCCAGCATTATAGTCCCCTTGCACCTCGCACCTCCCTTGGCGTTCATGACTGTCAAATGTACGTTGTTAATGTGCAAAATGGCCAGATAGTAGATTTTTCACTATTGTTGTAAATGCAAACTATCAGATACCGAGATAGTCGATAAGTGAGGAGTAGGTGTTCAGTGCCACGGGATGAGTGTGGCGATGGAAGAAGCAGAGACTGCTATGGAAGCCCTTGGGGGCCCTAATCCAGATGGGGGCAGGTGTTAGGGGAGGCCTGCATCTTCCTGCCAGACTCATCCTCATAAAATCACGGTGTATCTTGTTTCAACTAAAATTGGCTTCCTGTTACTTCCGCTCCTTCAGGTTCAATCTTGGTAACTTGAGATACCAGGCCCTCCCTTGTAGGCCCAGCTTCAACACAGGACCTTCCCGTGGTAGTAAAATTAGAAGTTGCATCTAATGATTACTACCATTATCATTATCCATTACTATCATAATGATAGTAATAATACTAGTAGTAGAAACTTCATTAAGATTATATATGCCCAGGCCCTCTCTAAGTGCTTTTCCTACATTAACTCCACTCAGCTTTCTCTATGGAGGAGGTGCTATTGTTACCACCATTTACAGATGAGTAAACTGAGGTACAGGTAGGGTAGATGGCAGAACCTGGGTTCCAATCCAGGTGGTGTGGCTCCAGGCCTGGCCTGTGACCATGACACCATTGTGTCTCCGTGTAAACCTACCATGTGGATTGCAGACTCTCTACTGGTTACCCTAAATTCTCCCTGGAGGCCTTTTTTCCTGGTGCTCTCTCTCCTGGGAATGCCTTTCCCTTTCTTATCAAACCCAATCTCTTTTACAAAGTCTCCCTCTATGAAAAAGAAATGTGTCTGGACTCAGTTCTGTGTTCAAGTCCCAGTTTCCAGCTGTCAAATCCTTCCTCCCTGACTCTCAGTTCTCCCATCTCTGCAACGGGAATATTACTCTCCTTCAACAGTGCTGTTTTGAGGACACTGTGAGATAATGTATATGAGCATGCTTTGCAAGAATAGCATGCTTTTCAAGAATAGATTTGACTCATTGAACACTAATGACCGAAGACCAGACAAGCTGTGGGATGACATCAAGGGCATTATACATGAAGAAAGCAAAAGGTCATTAAAAAGACAGAAAAGAAATGTGAGACAAAAATGAATGTCAGAAGGGACTCTGAAACTTGCTCTAGGACGTAGAGTAGCTAAAGTGAATAGAAGAAATGATGAAGTAAAAGAGCTGAATGGAAGATTTCAAAGGGTGGCTAGAGAAGACAAAGTAAAGTATTATAATGCAATGTGCAAAGACCTGGAGTTAGAAAACCAAAAGAGAAAAACACGCTCGGCATATCTCCAGGTGAAAGAACTGAAGAAAAAATTCAAGCCTAGAGGATTCTATGGGCAAAAAATTGAACTACACAGGAAGCTTCATAAGAAGATGGCAGGAATACACAGAGTCATTGTACCAAAAAGAATTGGTTATGTTCAACCATTTCAGGAGGTAGCTTATGATCAAGAGCCAATAGTATTGAAGGAAAAAGTCCAAGTTGCACTGCAGACATTGTGGGAAAACATGAATTGAGGGAATACCAATTGAGATGTTTCAACAAAAGGATGCAGTGCTGGAAGCACACTCGTCTATGCCAAGAAATTCGGAAGAGAGTTATCCTGGCCAATTGACTGCAAGAGATCCATAAATGTGCCCCTTCCAAATAAAGATGAACCAACAGAATGTGGAAATTATTGCACAATATCATTAATATCACATGCCAGGAATATCATGCTGAAGATAATTCAAAAACAGTTACAGCAGTACATTGCAAGGGAACTGCTAGAACTTCAAGCCGGATTCAGAAGAGGATGTGGAATGAGGGATATCATTGCTGATGTCAGATGGATCTTGGCTGAAAGCAGAGAATACCAGAAAGATGCTTACCTGTGTTTTATTGACTATGCAAAGGCATTTGACTGGGTGGATCATAACAAATTATCGACAACATTGCGAAGAATGGGAATTCCAGAACACTTAATTGTGCTCATGTGGAACTTGTACATAAACAAAGAGGCAGTTGTTAGAACAGAACAAGGGGATACTGCGTGCTTTAAAATCAGGAAAGGTGTGCATCAGGGTTGTATCCTTTCACCGTACTTATTCAAGCTGTATGCTGAACAAATAACCCTAGAAGCTGGAGTATATGAAGAACACTGCATCAGGACTGGTGGAAGACTCATTAACAACCTGTGTTACGCAGATGACACAACCTTGCTTGCTGTAAGTGAAGAGGACTTAAAGCACTTACTGATAAAGATCAAAGACCACAGTTTTCAATATGGATTACACCTTAACATAAAGAAAACAAAAATCCTCACAACTAGACCAATAAGCCACATCACGATAAACGGAGAAAAGATTGAAGTTGTCAAGGATTTCATTATACTTAGATCCACAATTAACACCCATGGAAGCAGCAGTCAAGAAATCAAATGACATGTTGCATTGGACAAATATGCAGCAAAAGATCTCTTTAAATTGTTGAAAAGCAGAGATGTCACGTTGAGGACTAAGGTTTGCCTGACCTGAGCCATGATATTTTCAATTGCCTCATATGCATGGGAAAGCTGGACTATGAATAAGGAAGACTGAAGAAGAATTGAAGCCTTTGAATTATGGTGTTGGTGAAGGATATTGAACATACCATGGACTGGCAGAAGAATGAACAAGGCTCTCTTGGAAGAAGTACAGCCAGAATGCTCCTTGGAAGCAAGGATGACGAGACTTTGTCTCATGTACTTTGGACATGTTCTCAGGAGGGACCAGTCCCTGAAGAAGGACATCATACTTGATAAAGCAGAGGGTCAGCGAAAAAGAGGAAGTCCCTCAACAAGATGGATTGACACAGTGGCTGCAACAATGGGTTCAAACATAACAACGATTGTGAGGCTGGCACACGACCGGGCAGTGTTTCATTCTGTTGTACACGGGGTTGCTGTGATTCAGAACCGACTTGATGGCACCTAACAACAACAGCATGCTTTGCAAACTCTTACGTTCTGTATAAATATTCGGGAACCAGCATCCCTTTTCCCTCGTTTCCCAAAATAAAGCTATTTCTATACAGTCTGTACTTCGCTATAGCGAAGTTTCCTTACACATTCCCTTGGACACATGACTTCATCTTTCTAAACCTGACTTTCCTCATCTGTGAAACGGGGATAATACCACCTACATTATAGAGTGATTGTGAGGATTACATGAAATAATGTTTTGAATGGATTGGATGTGTAACAGACACACAAGTCTGTGCATGGCATGCCCTCCAAGCCCTGACTTTTCTCTGGCTCCTGGGGTAAATAATTTCTGTCTCTCATCAGCAGAGGGCAATCCAGAGTCATCCTTCTCCTTCCTCCATTCTTTAAATGAATCAATGCTCCTGTCTTCTAGGAGCTTCTGATCTCTAATTCAGCATCAACACCATAATATTTGTTTACCAAAGAACAATCCCTCCCTTGTTCCATGTGACTGGGCCGTCCTCATGCACAGCCATCTGTAGCCCAAAGCTAGTCCTAACACAGCAGAACATTCCGCGACCACAGCGTCACTCTGTAAGCCGTGGAACGCTTGTTCAGCTGAAATGATGTGCGTCTGGCACAGACCTTCTCTTCTGACTTTGGCAGAACTTCAGGGAGTGAGAAAGCTGGGTTAGTGTTAGTGCTGGGTTTAAAATATGGGACTCAGCAGATCATACTGTTAACACTTCTCCTCTTTGCTAACTTTATGAAGTTCAAGAAAAGCTTTCTGGGGAATGGCACCCATGTATTTGCCAAAAGCTGAGATGGGCCAAGGAAGATGTAGTCAGCATCTGGAATCTCCTTGCTTAAAATTTAACAGCCAAGGAGGGAAGAAGGATATGCTGGGGAGCGAGGGAGTTGGGGGGCTGTGGGGGGTAGATGTGTAAAAGGGATTTGGAAGGAAGTGGGATGCTGAACAGGCTTGGCTCCTTGCGGTTCCACCCCCACAAGCCATCCTTTCCTCTCTTTCTGTAGCACAGCACCTTGTCCTGGCCCTCATCATCCTCCCCAAATAGGGTGACACTTTACGAGAGACCTCCTCGCCCCTCCTGCTCATCGCCAACACGGCTGCCAGTCTGTATTCCTCGCCTTCAGGCTTCCCAGTGCTTATGAAAGAGAAGATCCTCCTTGTAGTGCTGTGTTCAAGACCCCCACAAGCAGACCCCCAACTACCCCTTTGTCCTCATCCCATCTCTCACCCTCCACAAAGCCTCTAACCCCCGCCAGCCGATGGGTGCTATCCCCCAGACACGTGGACCTTTGTGCAGGCTGGCCCCTCGGCCTAGATGGCTCTCCCCCGCCCCCATATTTGTCTGGTAAATTTCTCCCCATCCTCCTGGGCCCAGTTCAAATAGGCTCTTCCTGTGAAGCCTTTCTCAACTCTTCCTGGCAAAGTGGATGCCACCTCATTTCTACCCCATGGGACTTGAGTACTGCACTAGTTTGTGTGTGCCTCTATGTGGCCCTGGGGACAGGACTACGTCTTATTTATAATTATGCACTCCCCTCCGGCCAGCCTCACCCAGTGCCTTGTTCAGCATATATTGTTTTATGTGAATTATTGAAAGCTGACAGAGCAAACTCTCATCGTGCCAAGGAGCTGCCAGAACATTAGATGGAGTTCTGGGCTGTGTCTGGCTCATCGATTCGGCCTTCCCTGCTCCCCAGAAGAGTGCAGTGTATGGGGATAGGTACTGGGCAAATGCCTCCTTGTTTACCATGGGCAACTGCTCCCTGATGATGTGTCTGTCTTCGAGAAGGTGTCCCAATTTCAGCCCAATTGAACTCCCCAACAGTTATCCCTACTGCATGGCTGAATCTGTGTTGGATTCTGGGGACAGAGATATGATGGCGACACTGTCCCTGACTTGGAGATCCTCACAGCTTAGTCAGGGAGACACACACACACAATTCTAAGAAAAGGCATGAAGTTCAGCCCAGCCTGGGAGCATCCAGGTAGGCTTCTTGGAGGAGGTGACTCCTGAGTGGAATACTGAAGGATGCACAGGAGTTAGACAGGCAAAGACAGAGATTGTAACCAACACAGGCTGAAGCTACCATGAGGATTCAGAACTGGAAGATCGTTGTTGGTGGGGGAGGGAGGAGATGAGATGAAGAAAGACAGAGATACCGACGGAGAAGATGGCAGCCTTTGAGTTAGGCTTTGAAGGATAAGAGAGTGTGGGGTAGATAGACTAGAAAAGGATATCGACTGAAGGGAAATCCAGGCAGAGGAACATGAAAGGCATGGACGAGCGAGGCAGCTAGCTCTGAGTGATCAACTACAAGAAGGTTATCACTGGAGCATTAGGTAGGAGATGGATTAGGGTGAACGCTGGGGCTGGAGGGAAGCTAGGAGCCAGGTCACGGAGGGTCTGAGTGTCATGCTGAGGTGCTGAACTTGATCCAGAGCGCAATGGGCGGTGACATGGTAAGACGTACGACTTGGCCAGATTCTGATGATCTCCTACTAACAGTGGGGTCTGCAGAACTGCAAGACAGGGTGCCTGGGTCTTGGTCACCTCTAACATCAACCGGCAAAAATCCAGCAGGTTAATCACATCTTTTGTCTTCTCATTCCTGTGTTGGTATGATCAAGCTGACCCACCTAGCAGTAGAGCTAGGAATTAAAGCAACTCAGGGCCCCAGGGGGCTGAGATCCTGTCCAGAGGCAAAGCAGGCGCCTCTCTGCGACAAAACAGTTGCCTAAACATCCCTCCCTGAAAGATCAGCCAGAGCACTTCCTGCCACGCAAGCGTGTTCTCAGACAGTTAAGTTCTTCAGTGTTGGGCATTTCAGATGGGTTGGAGGGCATGTCCCCAACCCAAACCCATTGCCGTCGAGTCGATTTCAATTCATAGTGACCCTATGGGACACAGCAGGACTGCCCCCCATAGGATTTCCAAGGAGCAGCTTATGGATTTGAACTGCTAACCTTTTTGTTAGCAGCCAAACTCTTAACCACTGCACCACCAGGGCCCCTCAAAGAAAACCAAGCCCATTGCCGTTGAGTCGATTTTGACTCACAGTGACCCTATGGGACAGAGTAGAACTGCCCCACAGGGTTTCCAAGGAGCAGCTGGTGGATTTGAACTGCCAACCTTTTGGTTAGCAGCCTCCTGCAAGTAGGCTGGAGGAATCTTAGGTCAGGGCCCAAAGGAGAGGGCTGTGAGATGGTTCATCAGCCTCCAGGAGACCTCAAGCTTGTTCCAATAATCCTCTCTGCTCTCAGCCCCAGGCTCTGCCAGGAACATGATTTGTTGGAATGTGGGAATCCCGACAGGTTCTGGGAAACAATAGGAGTCTGGCTAAATGGAAGAAACTCCTTTCTCTAGGTGCACAGCACATAGAACCCTGGGGTTCCTGACTGAGGGTTTAATACTGGGTTCCCGCGTGAAATGTCTAAGAACAGCCTCCTGCTTAGCGGCAGAATAAACAGCTGGCCCCAACTCTTATGGAAACTGCCGTATTTCAGGGTCTATTTGAGGAGGGGTGGGCAACAAGTCGGGTGAAACCGGCCTTTATGGTTTCAACTGGAACCTTTAAGCTGATGGCTTAGTCATATCCCTAGCAACGAAAACCTGTGGATCTCTGCTGATGACCCAGGAGGGGTCCTGGCCTTGCATCGGTAATGGCCTGGGGAGAGGACAAAGAAGTCTCTCCTAGCTTCCTAGAGCTCTGGGACTTGATCAGAAATGTCCTGTTGAGCACTCTTAACTTCATCTGAGAACTAATGGTTTCATACCTACTATGTGCCAGGCGGAGCCCTGGTGGTGCAGTGGTTAAGAGCGCTGCTAACCAAAAGGTCACCTGTTCGAATCCACCAGCCACTCCTTGGAAACCCTATGGGGCAGCTCTATCCTGTACTATAGGGTCTCTATGAGTCGGAATCGACTTGACGGCAACAGCTGTGCCAGGTACTGATATGGCTCCTAGAGATGCAACTGCAGATAAGATCCTGTCTCTGCTTTCGAAAAGCACACTGTCTAGTTGCAATGGGTGGCAGTTTGAATCCACCCAGAAGCACATAGGAAGAAAGGCCTGGCAATCACACCACCACTAGTTGCTGTTGAGTTGATCCTGACTCACGGTGACTCCTTGTGTTTCAGAGTTGAACTGCACGTAGGGTTTCCAATGGCTGTGACCTTTCGGAAGTAGATCACCGGCCCTTTCTTCTGAGATGTCTCCCGGTGAATCGAACCACCAAGCTTTACGGTGAGTAACTGAGCGCTTAACCATCTGCACAGCCCAGGGACTCCCCAGAAAATCATAGCCATTGAAAACCCTAGGGAGTGCAGTTCTACTCTGATACTCCTGGACTGCCATGAGCTGAAACTGACTTCACGCCACTGATACTCCAGTTGCAATAGGAGGGATGGGGAATGAGGCTTATCAGTTAGGACCCTTTTGTTGGCAAGTGGTGAAAGATGCTGCCTCCATCTGACCTAAGCAAAGAAAGACGAGAGGCCTAACAGGGGCAACTCACTCAGGGTCCAGTTTTTCTCTTTCTGGGTTAGCTCCATTCTCAGACAGGCTTTTCCCTTGTGACGGCAAGACGGTTCCTAACACCTACTGAGGGTTATAAGCAAAAGCCTCACAATGTATCACAGGCTCTCGCCAGGTCACTAGCTCACTTCTGAGCCAATCATTGCAGTGGAGGGTGCAGGGGGATGACGCATCGATGAACTTAGGTCTAGCTTACGTGCATCATCTTCGAACAAGGGATTGGACCCCACCTGAATTACTAGGCTGAAGGTTGGGGAGGGAAATAGGTGGTTACCTGACAACAAAAAATGAGATACTCCAAGGTACATTAAGATAATAGTTAGGTTCCTGATTACAGAACAGAAAGAAGAGTAACCCAAAGCAAGTAAATAAAAAACAGAAATGTTTTGGAATGATACTGGCATAGGGTCGCAGGATCAAATAAAGAGTTGATAGAATTTTCCAGAAGGAGAGAAACCAGAGCAGCTCCTGCACTATGCAGAGATCTTTGTGAATGACTCTCTAATCTGTTCTGCCCCCAGTGATTAGCCAATCGTGGTAGCCAACAAGTAGAGTGGAGGGATGGAAAAAACCTGGGTCTTGGTGACATTGCTGAGCTATCTTACCTCAGGTGACGTGAGACAATTAATTTTTCATTTTTATTTTCATTTTGTTCATGGTTTGAGTTCAAAGTCTGCTACTTTCACCTAAAACCATCCAAACTGGTACCCCTTTAGGACTCTGCCGTTCACCTGGGTTTCTCTGTAAATGCCGGCTTTATTCTATCACAGGAAGACTCCTCTGCATGACAGGCTCCACGCAAACATCCTGATTGCTCTGTTTCAAAGATTGTGGGAAAGAGCTCTGATTGGTCAGGCATTAAAAGTCTGCCTACCCTTTGGACCAATCATGGGCCCAGGGGCGTGATATAGTCTGATCGGCACAGCTTGGGTTAATTATCTCTAAATCAAAAAACCCTGCTGTTGTGGAGTGGATTCTGATTCATAGTGACTGTCTTAGTCATCCAGTGCTGCTATAACAGAAATACCACAAGTGGATGACTTTAACAAAGAGAAATTTATTCTCTCACAATTTTAGGAGGCTAGAAATCTGAATTCAGGGTACCAGCTCCAGGGGAAGGCTTTCTCTCTCTGTTGCCTCTGGTGGAAGGGCCTCATCATCAATCTTGCCCTAGTCTAGGAGATTTTCAGCGCAGGGACCCTGGGTCCAAAGGACGCGCTTTTCTCCTGGCTCTCGCTTCTTGGTGGTATGAGGTTCCCATGTTTCTCTGCTCGCTTCTCTCTTTTATATCTCAAAAGAGATTGGTTTAAGACACAACCTAATCTTGTAGATTGAGTCTTGCCTTATCAACAGAACTGCTGCTAATCCCACCTCATTAACATCATAGAGATAGGAATTAGAACACATAGGCAAAACACATCAGATGACAAAATGGTGGACAATCACACAATACTGGGACTCATGGCCCAGCCAAGTTGACAGACATTTTTGGGGGACACAATTCAATCCATGACAGTAACCCTATAGGACAGAGTAGAACTGCCCATAGAGTTTCTTTATGGAAGCAGATTGCCACATCTTTCTCCCACGGAATGTCTAATGAGTTCAAACCGCTGACCTTTTGGTTAGTAGCCAAGTGCTCAACCACTGCACCACTGGGACTCTTTCTAATTATCTCTATTCTTGGATTGATCAGCGGAGGGTAAGGGTTGAGGAAGGAATGGACCAGACACTGCTCCTGGGGGTGGGCGGCCTATCGCATTTGTATCTACTACAACAATGGTTTTCAAAGTGTGGTCCCCAGACTAGCAGAATCAATCTCACGGGGGAAATTGTTAGAAATGCAAATTTTCAGGTCCCACCTCAGATCTGCTGAATCCAGAAATCTGGGGGTGAGGCCCAGCAATCACCTCCAGGTGTTCTAATGGACACTAACGTTTGAGAACCATTGGGTCACAATCATACAAGAACTAACATCAAATTCTACAATGGTTCAAAGAAGACCCTATGTACAACAGGACAAAACACTGCCCGGTCCTGTGCCATCCTCACAATCGTTGTTATGCCTGAGCCCATTGTTGCAGCCGCTGTGTCAATCCATCTCTTTGAGGGTCTTCCTCTTTTTTCGACGACCCTCTACTTTATCAAGCTTGATGTCCTTCTTCCCTTTTACCTATGGTCTTTTCCATTCTTGCATGAGGAAATGTACATATTTATTTGTAACTAACATAGGTAAGTTTTTCCACTTAATATTTTTCTTTATAATACATTCATGTTTTCTATTATATGAGCATTCTAACCATTTACAAACAATTTGGAAAGAGTCATTAAAGAAAATTTGAGAACTTATCTATGAACTTACCACCCTAACTAAACTGTTACA